TCTCAGATTTTCCGATTTCCATTCCCGTTTTCCCGGGTTTTTCCCAGATTTTCCCGTCCCCATTCCCATTTTCCCAGATTTCCCCGTCCCCATTCCCGTTTTCCCGGGTTTTCCCCTCCCCATTCCCGTTTTCCCGGGTTTTTCCCGTCCCCATTCCCGTTTTCCCGGGTTTTTCCCGTTGTTTTTCCAGGTGGATTCCGTGTTCCGGGACCTGCGGCTGCTCCGATCCCGCCCGGCTCATCTCGGCGTTTTCCTGCGTTTCCTCTTCTCCCAGGCCGACCCCACCCCCCTGGTGAGCCCCATTCCCGAAATTCCCGGAATTCCCGACATTCCCGACATTCCCGGGAATCCCAGACCGGGATTTCCCCACAAAATTCCCAAGTTTTTGTCAGAATTCCCGGGATTTTTGCCGATTTTATTGGGATTTCCCCCCACAATTTCAGGGATTTCCCTCCAGAATTCCCAGGGTTTTGTCAGAATTCCCAGGATTTCCCGAAAAATTCCCGGGATTTTATCACAATTCCCGGGATTCTTGCTGATTTTATTGGGATTCTTTCCCAAAATTCCCGGAATTTCTCCAATTCCCAGATTTTCCCCAAAGTTCCTGGGATTCCCCTCTAAAAATTCCAGGGTTTTTATCAGAATTCCCAGGATTTCTCCTAAAATTCCCAGGATTTCCCCCGAATTCCCGGGATTTCCCCAAAATTCCCGGGATTTCCCCAAAATTCCCGGGATTTCCCCAAAATTCCCGGGATTTCCCCAAAATTCCCGGGATTTCCCCAAAATTCCCGGGATTTCCCCAAAATTCCCGGGATTTCCCCAAAATTCCCGGGATTTCCCCAAAATTCCCGGGATTTCCCCAAAATTCCCGGGATTTCCCCAAAATTCCCGGGATTTCCCCAAAATTCCCGGGATTTCCCCAAAATTCCCGGGATTTCCCCAAAATTCCCGGGATTTCCCCAAAATTCCCGGGATTTCCCCAAAATTCCCGGGATTTCCCCAAAATTCCCGGGATTTCCCCAAAATTCCCGGGATTTCCCCAAAATTCCCGGGATTTCCCCAAAATTCCCGGGATTTCCCCAAAATTCCCGGGATTTCCCCAAAATTCCCGGGATTTCCCCAAAATTCCCGGGATTTCCCCAAAATTCCCGGGATTTCCCCAAAATTCCCGGGATTTCCCCAAAATTCCCGGGATTTCCCCAAAATTCCCAGGATTTCCCCAGAATTCCCAGGATTTCTCCCAAAATTCCTGGGATTTTTGCTGAATTCCCAGGATTTCTCCCAAAATTCCCAGGATTTCCCCAGAATTCCCAGGATTTCCCCCGAATTCCCGGGATTTCCCCCGCCATTCCCGTTTTTCCGCAGCTTTTCCACCTGTGCTCGGAGCTGTGCTGCCGCCAGGGCGATCCCGGAGATTCCCGAGCCTTGGGAAGAGACGTCTGGAGCCTCTTCCTGGACAGGAGCGCCGTGAGAGCCGGGAATTCCCGGGATTCGGGGGGGAATTCCCGGGATTCGGGGGGAATTCCCGGGATTCGGGGGGGAATTCCCGGGATTCGGGGGAATTTTGGGGATTTGAGGGGAATTTTGGGGGGAATTTTTGGGATTTTGGGGGGAATTTTTTGGGATTTGGGGGGAATTTTTGGGATTCAGGGGGAATTCCCGGGATTTGGGGCAGAATTCCGGGATTTGGGGTTGGAATTCCAGGATTTGGGTTGGAATTCCGGGATTTTGAGGTTGGAATTCCGGGATTTGGTGTTGGAATTCCGGGGTTTTTGTTGGAATTCCGGGGTTTTGGTTGGAACTCCCAGGATTTGGGGTTGGAATTCCCAGGATTTGGAGCAGAATTCCGGGATTTGGGGTTGGAATTCCGGGATTTTGGGTTGGAATTCCGGGATTTTGGGTTGGAATTCCGGGATTTTTGTTGGAATTCCGGGATTTTGGTTGGAATTCCGGGATTTTGGGATGCCTTTTCCCTGTTTTCCAGCCCCTGCGGGTGAAGGTTCCGGAGCAGCTCCTGGCCGAGCTCGGTGAGTTCAGAATTCCGGGAATTTCCCGCCGGAAATCCGGGAATTCCCAAAAAAAAAACCCCGGGATCCCCCTGGGGCTTCCGAACCCGGAAACCATTCCCAAACTTTTCCCACATTCCCAAAAAACCCCCGGGGGAGCTTTGGGAAGGAGCTCGGAGCTCCGGGAGCTTCCCGAGATCCCAAATTTTCCCGGATTTTCCCGGAATTCCCAGAAATTCGCCTCCGGAGCGGCGACGACTTCCGGCCTTTCCTGCTGGAAGCTCAGGAATTCGTTATCCCGGAAATCCAGGAGCAGCTCCAGGATTACAGGTGGGAAAATCCCGGGAATTCCGGGAATTCCGGGGGTTCCTGGGGTAAAACCTCGGGAAAACCCCAAATTCCAGGAATTCTGGGCCCTCCCCATCCCATTTTTCCCCGTTTTCCCACAAAATCTCCTGGAAAAACCCCAGATTTTGGGAATTCCGGGAATTCCAGGCACTCCCAATCCCATTTTCCCTCTTTTTCCCCAAAAACTTCATGGAAAAAAACCCAAATTCCGGGAATTTTGACCCTTCCCGATCCCATTTTTCCCCTTTTTCCCCCCAAACCCCTGGAAAACCCCAAATTTTGGGAATTTTGGCCACTCCCAATCCCATTTTTTTTGCCTTTTCCCACAAAATCTCATGGAAAAACCCCAAATTCCGGGAATTTTGACCCTTCCCAATCCCATTTTTCCCCTTTCTCCCTCTGGAAAACCCCAGGTATTTCGGGAATTCCGGGAATTCTGGGAATTTCGACCCTTCCCCATCCCATTTTCCCCCAAAACCCCCTGGAAAACCCCAGGAATTCCGGGAATTCCGGGAATTTTGACCCTTCCCAATCCCATTTTCCCTCTTTTTCCTCCCAGAAAACCCCGGGAATTCCAGGAATTTTGACCCTTCCCGATCCCGTTTTTCCCCTTTCTCCTTCTGGAAAACCCCGGGAATTCCGGGAATTTTGACCCTTCCCAATCCCATTTTTCCCCTTTCTCCCCCCAAACCCCTGGAAAACCCCGGGAATTTTGGGAATTCCGGGAATTTTGACCCTTCCCGATCCCGTTTTTCCCCTTTCTCCTTCTGGAAAACCCCGGGAATTTCGGGAAATCCGGGAATTCCGGGAATTCCGACCCTTCCCGATCCCATTTTCCCCCAAAACTACCCAGAAAACCCCGGGAATTCCGGGAATTCCGACCCTTCCCGATCCCGTTTTTCCCCTTTCTCCCCCTGGAAAACCTCGGGAATTTCAGGAATTCCGGGAATTTTAACCCTTCCTGATCCCATTTTCCCCCTTTCTCCCCCCGGAAAACCCCGGGAATTTCGGGAATTCCGGGAATTCTGGGAATTCTGACCCTTCCCCATCCCATTTTCCCCCTTTCTCCCCCCGGAAAACCCCGGGAATTCTGGGAATTCTGACCCTTCCCAATCCCATTTTTCCCCTTTCTCCCCCCGGAAAACCCCTGGAATTCCGGGAATCCCGGGAATTCCGGCAGGAGGAAGCGCACGCTGGGGCTGGGCGCTCTCTACGGGGAGCAGGAGCTGCGGGAGCTGCGGAATTCCCGAGGGAATTCCCGGCGGGATCCGCGGGATCCGCGGGAGCGAGCGGCGGCCGAGCGGCAGC